CCCCCCCCCCAAGGAAAATCCTGCGTACGCCACTGGCGCCCCCCCCCTTCCTCTCCTAGTGCCAGGCTCCCTAGTGTGGAGGCTGTCCATCAGAGTCAGAATAGCGATGATTAGCATAAATGCTGTTGACACGGGGAAACAAGCAGGAAGGTGAACGTGAAAGTCAAGGCTCCGACGCTAATGTAGAGTTATGGCATGTCTCGTCTCAGATTCACCTCGTGAAGGGATTTTATCCTAGTATTGAAGCTTGTCGAATTCTCAGACCGTCAAAAAGTATTATGTTCGGGAGTCGCTGTCTCTGAGTTGGTTTCCCAATAACTTCTGTGGCGGTTTCGAGGTCAATGTTGTAGTCGAGCTTAGGCATTCATTAATTATCAAGCGGAACACTTCGTTCCTCTTCCCCCCTATTTCACTCCGCGGAAGAGCAAAGCGTGATCTTGATGACGACACTTGCTATCAACTACAAACCTGCAAACTTATCCCGACGCAGGCAACAAAGCAGAACGCGTTGACCACATTCTCATTTTTCTTCCGGAGAATGGCCGCCAAAACAGCGCAAGACATTAGCCCGAGGCAGGGTAGGTAGAAAGTTAGGAACCAGCGGCGAGGCATCCTCGTAAAATGGAATATTGAAGTCACACAGGAATATTTTCCCCATTTTGTGGTGGCCACACACTGTTCTGCCTTCACGGAAGAATTGTTCAGCAAATAACCGTCAAGCTCGATTCCTTCAAAGTTGACAAAATATATTGCACGTTAGCCTGATATGGATCCGCTTCACGAAACGCATGACGTCGACAGATTGCGCAGGTTTACCTTTATGAAATACCGGGCTGCCATCGTCCCAGCTCAAGAGCATTTCGGCTATTTCTAGGGAATTCGACGATATTTTCAGCGGACATTGAGCCGAACCAAACGGAAAATACTTCGGATTCGCAGGACACGTGAGTCTGAGCGAAAGCCGAGTGCTGTGATGAACCTGGAGGGAAGAGTGTTAGGCGCGCTCGCGGTGCGGTGAACGAACAACTCATTTCAATCTATCGGTCTACCTGTCCGTTCGGATATATTCTCATCACAGCATTATCCGGGGGCGTGTGGTGAATCGGAGCTTCCTTCTCGTTCATTATGAAAACTCTGGGAACCCAGGGCGAGTTCTGCGATCGCGACGGGCTCAAGATAAGATGGTTTAAATTCGAAGATGCATTGAAGACGAGCCGCTGGTCTTTCCACCGCAGTCGGAGTGTCACCTGTGGAAATCAGCTCGCTTCTATTCTGAGCTCGTTATTTGTTCTATTTGCAGGTCGGAGCTATAAGTCCTGGGGATTCGGGGATGCAGTTTCAGCGGCAATGAACTTTTTCTGGGCAAGCGAACGTCCGAGGCCGTGCCGCAAGAGATCCGATCTCGAAAGCAAGGAATTGCGTCATGGGTTTTGCATGGTATTCGGAAGGGCACGGAGGAGAGCGAAGGCTTTCTCGTTAGAGCGGCGGAGATGACCGGAGTCGTAGAATAACATCGGAGGGTACTTCTCGTGAACTGACCTGCAGGCCAAGCTCTCTCTTGATTTCATCCAGGTAGAAGACGTCCCGAACAAAAACGTTGACTCGGACCATGATCTGCGGACAGTGGAGCATTCAATATGTTACAGCGTCTCTTTCCACAGGTTTCTCTTCATGACCGAATCCCATGACGAATACGTGATCGTCTCTCGATTCAAGGGCATGAACCGCAAGATGTGACTCCACGAAGTGAATGTTACGAGGAGTTTCCCTCAACCAGGGTCTTAACGGGCAAGAGCAATCGAATCCATCTTCTACAACGGGGAGGAGTAATAGTGTTGGAGAGGCTTCATGGAATGGAATTTCTATGGTAAACCACGGCTATCAAGGGCGGTAATTCGCGGCTGCCCATCAGAGCGTCTAGAGGAAAACCGTCGATAATTTGTGAAGCCTAGCAGTCCTCGGCATGGAATACCTCTTGATCGAACAAGAAGCCAAGATTGCTGATCACTGCACATGGATCACTGATCAGTGATCGGTAATCATTGTTGTCGGTTCATCTTATCGTTAGAATCTTTTCCATGGGACTGATGAGCTGATGAGCAACCCTTCCCCTTACCATCCATACTCTCAGACCGGCTCCTCGGGGACGGATACAACATGATCCAACATTGTGCTGAGATGCCAGGGAGACTCGTAGTGAAGAATGGTTGTTCTCTCGGTCGAGTTTTCCGCGCAAAGTGAAGCAATTACCTTTGATCTGGATGGTGGTCGTACTTCACTGTCGTAGGTGGATGAATTGAGGAGCGTCCGGAAGAGCTTTTCTTCTTCATTGTGAGCTGCCGTCGCCAACAGACAGAAAGCGACGGGAACATAAAGGCAGACACCACAACAGCGCATCTTTCGGTTTGGGACAGGTTGTCTGCCTGGTTTTCTGGTCCATGGAGAGCGACTCTCCACGAACGGGTCCATGGAATGAGAAACACATGCGCTTCATAAATATTATATAGCTGTGCGCCATGGCTGACAACATCCGCGAGTAGAGTACTCGGATAAGAAATCTGAGACGAATGAAGCTTCCGCTCATCGGGAGTCTCCAATGGCCAGAAAACGCAGACTCAGAATCCCATTCGCAATGCTATTTCTCTGACCTGTGGATCGATGGGGCAGTCGCGATCGGGAGGAATTCAAGCATAGCGCTGAAACCAAATTGTTCGCCCTGACAAAGGTCCTTTCGATAGTGGGGAAACTCATTCGCTTCGGCCTATTCTATTCAAATGGCTGTTGGCGCACGAAAAAGGCCCCCCGAGCTATAAAATGGGGACACAGTCGGTGTTGTAGCATGAACTCAGCCGGGAAACTACTTTGTGCATCTCCGTATCCTGCAAATCGAATCGCTGTCTGACAGACGCCGACGATTTCCTTGATTCGCTGGTGATCGTCTCATGAAATGGGGGCAGGGGTGAAAGTGTCCGGAGCTCTTCTGTGACCTCTGAAGGAAATGCATCCCGAACAGAAGCTTGTAGTTCCTCTGCCGAGCAAATAGGAGTGGACGCTCCATCACATTCCTCGATGAGATCAATAAGTGGAATTCTTGATGACTCGTGTCCTTGGCGATGTCTATAAGTTATGGCATCTGCCACGAATCGCGACATTCATTGAATATATGACGGCCGAATAAGTCATTATACTAAGTCATTTTCTTCCGGCATGTCATCGATGTGGTGCCGTCAGGCACTCATCGAATCAAGGATGATGCTCACTCGCCGACTGACGACTGTTCGACACGAGGCACGGACGAAAGCTGTCCGTGATGATACTTCATACACCTGGGCGGGATCCACAGATATTTCTTAACAATTATGAGATCTCGGAAGTAAATCATAGCACGGAAAAACTTTGTCCGGAGAAGCTCGACCTTGGCGACCCAGAAGCTATCCATCCGAAACCGGATGCGATGGATGCTCCTCGAACAGACGATTAATTATTAGCCCTCGGTGCCGGGCACCTCGGAGCTGCGAGCGCCAATGAATTGCCACCCCCGGCACCAGGAATCAATATTCCTACGACGAATGTTTTTCGCAAGTGCGTCAGGAACCGCGCAGTGAGAATACACTTCGAGAAGGATCTCCGTGCAGACGTCATTTCGTTCCGTATTCCGGATGCATGTAATCAGAATCGGGAGACATCCACCGTAAATAATCTTCCGCGAATCCCCCACGCAGGCCTCGAAATGAAATTGAACGTTGAGCTCGTTTTTGCCTGTTTGGAGAATCGCTGTGCGCACTCGCAAGTTCTGCGGCAAGAAGAGCTCATTCCGAGTGCAAATCCACTCGAAGGAAAACCGGGAGCTTCTCCGGCTCTGCCGTACGAATACAAATTGAGGATCGAGAGAGCTTTGATCTCTTCGACCCCTAAATGAGACGACAGTGATGAAATCCCCACCGTTACAAAATTAGTTCCCCCTCCCTCCCCGGATTCGGGAGCAGCTCTACCCTCTCCTTGATCTAAACAGGATCTCTACCGAGATTATCATCACAATAAAAACTGGGGGGGCCGTGAGAGCAACTCCAGCATATTCCCCAGGAGGACTCAACTCTCATATCGGAAGGAGGTATCGAAATTCGTTCACGCAGTCTGCGCCAGGAGAGCGAATGAGCTCGGGATCGAGAGGTAATCTTCTCTCGAACTTTAGGTTTGTGTGCACCTCGAGACCCACGACTCCTTCTTCGTTTCCGTCTCGGTAGAGTATCACTCGTCAGACAATCTGTAAGGAACAGCAGAAGGGAGTGATTCGCAACTTTCCCAGGCGACAAATTGGTCAGGGCGGAAACGAATGCTCCAAGTTGCAGCTACTGACACCGTTCGAGTCAGGGTCTCGTCCTATGGTGAGATGCAATTCCAGGAAATCACAGAAACCACGCCCCGAGCACGCTTCAGGGAACTCCGTTAGGCTCCACGCAGATGCAGAGCTCCCAGACATCTCTCATCACTGTTCACGTGGGGCTCGGCTGCTTGATTGATGTGGGTCGCCTCAAGCTTCTCCTCCGATTGATGATCCCACCCGTTCTACTACAATGCTAATAAATGGTCAGAGGTCCGACGACCGGGGTAGATGCTACCCCGCTGGTTGCTTGACCGCCCCACGTGACGCCCGGTACCGGCTGTCGTGCTCGGATCTCCGCAGAAATTTTTTGAACTTCCGATGGGGTTCGCGGTCATGCGAGCCGTCTCCGCTCGCTTGACCGCGGATCAGCAGAGTGCGGAGACCATTCCAGAGCCTCGAAGGTAGCTTGAAAAATATCCATTAGCAAGAAGTGCGGCGCTTATTAGTCTTGCAAGTCAACTTGACGTTGCAGGTCCGGTCGGCCGACAGGTCGTTGTTTCAGTCTGCAGGCTCGGTGGGGAGACTCCTGCGAACTTCTACTGAAGCAATATCTGCATTGGATCTCATGAGAAGTGATTCCTTGACGGGTATTCGCTCTGTCGGTACCATGCGGGAAACGGAGACTCCTGGCAGCGGACGTCTAATCTGGGCAAAGACAAACTTTGTCATTAATTTCTTCCGCACGGGAGCAGACTCTTAGTTTATTCTAGTGATCAGGCATGGAAGTCTCAAACCAGGTCTTCTTGATTAGTTCGAAGTTCGATGGCGCCAACGAGGGCACTTCGAGGGTGATCTCGCCCCTCCTGGGGAAGGAACGATGCTAGAATTTACCTGGTTGTCCCAATCTCGTCTCCTGCCATTGTATCATAGGGAAAATTTTTTTCGCAATCGAGAATGATTTCCATCAGATCTCGAAAGGTCCCTGGAAACTGGGGAGTTTTTGTGCTTCAATTAGTCGCCCCGTCATTGTCATTCTGTCGGCGTTCTTGTTGAGCCAAAAAACTCGGCTTGATGAACTTCGCGCCAAAATGAAGGTAGTACCTAATCCTGGGAAGAGAGGGCCCCGGCTAAACCTCGCTGGCCTCCGAGGCCCAGTAGGAAAAGCGCACACTGAGACACGCATTATTTTCGTCACACAACAATTTCCGTCCCACGGTGGTCCCGAAAAAAGACGAAGAGGACGCGAGGAAAGCGAGAACCGAGAGCATCATGCGAAACAAGACACTTCCCCCGCTTGGAGGACCTAGGACGGTACCGCTTCCGAAGCAATATGTCGGTCCCCGAATTTCTCGAGACTCTACCGAAGCCTCAGCTTGAGTTTTTCGTCGGTCAAAAGCGAGATTGCGATTGGTCTCTGAGCGAACCTCGAAATCGTTGAGCTCATGTCATCCTGATCGGACATGGAACATCGTCCCCGGTTCAATTCTATTCGCATGGTTTCAGGTTTGCCGGTCACGCCGATAACCTAAGGATGGCGCGCGAGAATCAACAAGATCCTCGGGTCCCTGGTCCCTGTTCGAAGATTTGAGTCCACTCATTTACCCAGAATGCATTCTGTCTATGATCACTCACCGAGAGTAGCTCCGGCGAGGAAGGGGCAAGCGGGTTCAGCGATTCTCTGCGGCAACCGATGGGGTTGAGGATCCGTGAATTATTTAGGCTTCTATGAATTTTCGCTCCTTTTATGGTATCCCGAGTTCTTCCGCTCGTCGGTGTCTAAGGGCGATAGGCCCCATCGGACAATGTTCTTTTCTCATCCGCGGCTCGGACACCTGGAGATCACTCCAAGGCGCGCGCTCTGAAATCGCGGAATCTCTGGCAGGCAAAACCTAGTAATCGTCAGCCACCGCTACCGGATGGTACTGTGTCTCCGACCAATTTTACACCTCCGCCCAGCGGCTTTTCGCTGCAGGGATCTGTCTCATAAGGTAGGCCTGTCCCCTCATTGGACCATATCAGACTCTCTCAAACTACGTCCATGTCGTAAAAAGCCGGTGTCGACTCGGCCATGAGCCCCGACCGCGTAGGAGCATCCTCGCTGAGCGGACTCTGGACAGGATACGCGATACCGGGTCTTATAGCACAGCGAGTTTCATTGTGGGACAGGTCCGCTCAGCAGCATTGAAATTAGATTCGAATGTCCATGATCCATGAGCGTTTCCGTCCCTTGGCGGGACTCGGACTCTCGTGAAAACTGCGGACTTACACTTCGGGCTGGAAATAGACTGTACGGAGGACGAGAGACGGACATTCAAACAGCAGGGCGCTCAGGAAACTCTGAGACAAGTGGAGAGCTTCTTTCTGCGCTTGTCCGATTTGTGAAAAACTTTAATTAACGGGTTCGGCAGCCCATGGCTCGAATCTTAGTGCTCTCGAAGTGACCGACTGAACGACCCACCGGACGGACGACAAACGGATCGACAGCGAAACTTTCCTCCGCACGTCTGCCGCTTGAGAGGTTCTTCAAAATTGTCGGAGCCAGGGAGCGGTGAGAGCTTCTGTCACGCGCGGATCTGCCACCGAAGCTCCCGATATTTCATCCACATCGGGTTCAGATAATGAGGACTCCTCGAAGTTCACCTCCCGCCGACATAAACTGCCCTATGTGGGTGAGGGGACTTGACGAGGAGGTGGATTCTGATCGTGATAAAGAGCTATCGTTTGATAAGTTTACGCTCGGATCCGATCCCGCGAGGCGCCAGGTCCAAGCCCTCCCGATCTTCTCAATCAATGCAGGCCCCTGTCAGAGTAGCCCCTCCCTGAGAAAATACATTCTGCCGGGGCCACTATCGAAAGATCAGAGGTATGTGAATGACTCGCAGGTTGCAACCCGAATAGATTAGAGCTCGGAAGGAGCTGTGATTGGATCCCCTCGACTCGAGAGGATCTCTGCGAATAGTCTCTGGGGAGCCTAGACCCATTTCGAAAGAGGACCTGAGAGAGCAAAGGACATCTGCTCGGGTCGAGTTTACTGTATCCGCGCCACCTCGCTCGACAGGCCCGGAGTCCTCCG